GTCACTATGTTACTCATTTTACAGCAAATGTCGTAGCACCGTGTAATTCTATGTAAAACAATTCGTGGTTAACACAAAATACACGTTAATTAGTAGACGTAAAGATCGTAGTCATCAATCGTTATTTAATTATAATTATGTAAAATCACAAGTATGGTACTAGGAAAGCATTAAATATTAAAATAAAAATTTAATATAAAGTCTGGCTGAACGTCGTGGGTTCGGTTTCCACTGAAGATGATTTATGCTATTCACTATAGGCCTCGTAAAAAGTGATAATTGGAATAGTTAAATGTCTCAGACCTAATGCATCAAGTTTAATGTTAGATTTTATTGTAGTTTATTAAATAAACTTGACTCTAAGGACAAAGAGACTTAGCGCGGACTCCAGTATGTCAAAATCCAATACATTTTTGAATACGTCAATCAACTGCGCAATTACATTCCGGTAGCCCAGTAACATTAAATTGAATTAGAGCGCGGGAAAAAGCTCACATTAAACACCAGACATGATAAATGATAATCAATATTGGCTTTTATCATCAACTAATAAAGATTAAGGAGCTCCACACATTTAAGTTAACGATAGTACTATATATTGTTTATAGGTAACAACTCTTAAGAAAGTAAGGTACCACATTAAAACATAAGATTAATACTTTTTAAATTTCAAAATCAAAGATGTTATTCAAAATAATAGATTATTCAGATTCATATTGTCAATTGCAAGAGGCTTTTCTTATTTGATCTTAAACTTAACTTAGTATAACGGAAAAATAGACTCGATACAATGTCAAGGGATACTTTTGCCTTAAATTAAGATTTACTGGCTCCGTATTATGCCGGGTAAAAATTGTTAGGAATATTATAAGACAAACATACAATAAGGTTACTCAGATATACGCAACATGTAAAAACTAATTCCTTACATGTAATAAGGTACCTATTACATATCCTTTCTGCAATATTTACAGAAATATAGAGAAATCTTTCTTGAATTTCGTGACTGTTTAAGTTTCTCTTAATTTTGAGAATATCTTTAATAGGAGAAGTATTTACATTCAGTAACAGAAATAACAGTAACTATTTAATATTAATATTTTCAGCAAATCACCAACATTATTATCATGGTCTGTTATTCAAGATTGAAATGAAAGCTTTTGACATCACCTGTCGCATACACAATCAACAGGAAGCGTATCCGGGCGAGGCTCGAAGGAGCACGCAGGCTGCCGCCCTGCGGGGAAGCCAGTCGCCGCCCAACCGCCCTAGCGTTCGACCTCACAACCCGCGCTGCGACCGCGTTCAAATTGCACATTCATCAAAGCTCTCTCATTCACTAATCATCAAAACTAAACGATGTAAAGCTTGGTGAAGCTGTTTACGTGAAAAAGATCGGGTGAGGTAAGTAAGCGCTGTTTAATTTTCATTCCCTTTTTTGTTTTTTAAACTTGTATCCTATTATATTTAAGTAAGTATTGTTATTTTTTTTTTAATTTCTCGTGATTACGCAAAACATTGCTTTAGGAACCTATAAATTAGTAGATACTATCGATGTCTAATATGTGAGCTGTTTACGTAATTTGTAAACATAAACAGTACGATTTCTAATGTTATTTTTAAGCAAGTTCGCAATTTTTATAATAAAATTAATTATTCATATAAAAAGTTGAATCGAAGTTAAATAATGTCTTAAAAATGAATAATTTTCCTACATTTGAATATTTCCTTAGTAATTGGCAGGCGCTGTGTTACAATAAAAATCTATTAGCTGAAAGGCGCACCTGATCTTCGCCAATTCCATTAAGGATTGTCTGCAAAAATTAAAGTAATATGTATCCTCGATATAAATATTGAAGCTCACTTGATTACCATATTTAAACCTATAAATCAATGACTTTTATACAATGTAAAGTTATGCAACTTGAAACATTATAACAACTTGTCAGCTCGTTCGAAGTAATATTTGTAATAGAACACCCGATAAATTATAGTTTATGAGAGGAACTATTCGTAACAAATATTTCTCCGTTATTCATAGATTAATTTCATAAAATAAAATAAAATAGATTTAATTGATTTATAGTTTAAACAAGATAAAATTTATTGATTAGCTTAAAACTCTATTTTATTACAATATGAGAAGTAAATGATAGATAGATAGATAGATAGATAGATAGATAGATAGATAGATAGATAGATACATACATAATGAACGATTTATTACGGATTAACTGTACGGCAAACAGATGTTTCATATTCACGCTTGTTATTATCGACTCCCAACTTTTATCTTCCAATAACATTTGTTTTATATGTAAACAGCAATATGGGTGATAAGTCTTAATGAATCGGGATTGTTTACTTTATCAACAATACTTAGGCGTAGGGCGTAGTTCGCAACTTTTTGACGTACATTATTGATTTAGGCCTCATTTAGAGCTGAAACTTAACCTTTTCATGACATCGTTATATACTTTATACGTTAAAGTATATGATGATGTGTGTGAGTTTATTTCTTACTCTACTATGAAAGGTATAAGCTACTACATAAAACATTTAATATTTATTTATTGTAAGTTGATTATACATACATACATGCAATAATACATTACCAAAAGTTGAAGACTTAGGCTTAAGAGCCTGTGTAACGCCGTCAAAACACACGGTCAAATTGTTGATCAAAGATGGTATAAAAATATTTCAATTACATACTGCTAACCTACGGCCCAAAGATAGATAAGAAATCACGGTTTCAGCACATTTGCAGCCACAACCACTTTTGTAGAAACAATAGACGATATTTTAATAATTAAAATAATATATTTCCTATATTTCGAGATATTACTTGGAGTATGTTTAAGTCTTCTTAGTTTTTTGTATTCACAACTTCAAAACATTATTCGAGATGTTTGATAACAAAGAAAACATTCTTACCTTAACAATTATTATAGTACATTTCCTGCGTTTCAGTCCTACTTTATGCGTTAGAGGTAAATCAGCTCTTCACATTTCTTAATATAATATCGAATGAAGTCAACCATTCTTTTCAGTCATATATATTACTTTATAGAAGTAACAATATAAAAGGCGTAAAAATTCATAGTTAAAAAAAGAAATTTGAATGGTTTCATGAAATGTATAGACTTATATTTACGTTAAATTGTTTTGTCAACAAAATATTGATAATACAAGTTGAGTGCCATAAGGTACACTTAAAATTTGGATTTCCAGCGAAAAAGTAATTGTTTTTATCGTCACATATTTGTTACATACAATTATACCATTTATGGTCAATATTGGCTAGGGTTTCGGAGTTTAACCTTGAAGTATATTAATTGGATATTGGTGTTGCGCAACACATACACAAAAACTACAAATATAAGTACAACAAACCACAACAACAAACAACAAACCACAACAACAAACAACAAACCACAACAACAAACAAGTAGCTTGTAGCTTGAAGCATTAGTGCAATCATAACTTTATACAATGCTTTAGTAAGAATTTACTTGGTGTGAAACTGTATATGAATACAGTATCGTTAGAGCGAGTACAAAATAAATTCACCCGTAACCTATCCGTTACTGTTTAGAGCGTATACTTTGTATCCACCCGGCCCTATTAGTTTTGGGTATGGTGGGTTATGATCAGCTATGCTCAGAAAAGAGTTGGCTATATTAAGGATTCTTACGGGTGCATTACGTTGATTAAATTCTTGTAATTGGGTCAGCGGGTTCCAAGTGAGACTCTGACTACTTCTTTTATTATGGGGAAATAAATAAATACCATAATCAAAGCTCTATTCTAGAAAAAATAACAGTTTGGGAAAACAAAACATGATGAATAAAACAGACGCGGAAATCCATTTTCCCCATTGCCCTTTAGGGACTTACGGGACTTCACTCAACTACTCATTTCAAATTTCACTCCACCTACTATCGGGGCTAGTTAGAAGATTGACTCTGTTATTTGGACGTGATTAATGTATCCTTAAACCCTTATCTGCTGTCTCCTACAAGTGATATACTTAAAGCTGACATATAGGAGTTCCTTAATGTAATTGTAAGCCAAATTGACTGCTTAAGTACTGTCATATCTGTTTAACACTAGGCTGTAATTGCGGGCGTGTTTTGTTCACACAGCAAAAATGGGCTCTTAAACTCTTTAAAACTTTGGAAATTATTTTGAAACTGTATTTTAAAAGGGTTATTAGGAAAACAAAGCTTTACTAATTATTTGTGGTCGACATAACGAATAGACCTTTGCCGGCCATCTTCCAATATTGTGACCAAGAGATTAAGCTCACACACCGGCCGTAACTCGAGGCTTAATGGAATTACTTCTAGATTGTTACTGTGGTTACTCTACACAACTACATTTCTCAAGTGAAGGTATAGTCCGTTTTACTGTAATGTATCACTAAAACTATGTACAGAACAACTTCATCTCCTATAATGACGTCATGTTTTGAGGACAGTAGTAAGCATATTAACGTCCGTTGTTAGATAATTATATTTTCAAAAGGATTTATCCACATTAAATGTTGTGACTAAGTTGTATGACGTGATAATTAAATTTTTAATTTAAAGTGCAGCAATTATGCGGCTTTCAATCAAGTAATTCACTAATACCAGATGAATGTCAACAGCACAAGAATTTGCATAACTGTTGAGATTTATATATTTTTTTTATATATATCTCTCAATATATTTTTTTCTTTGGTTATTGTTATTTTGTTTGTTTATGTGTGTGTGTTTTTGTTTGTAATAAATGATATGTCTATGTCTTTGTCTATGATTTAAAATATTGAATATACTTTAAAGTCAAATAGTTTTTAAACTTTGATGACTTATCACACTTTTCCTCTTTGCAGGTACCCTACGTGTCGGTTCGAAAACAATGTGCAAATAAGACTAGGGTGTTTTATAAAAAGTGACAATTGCTTAGAACAACTAACTAGGAACGAGGTGACTCATGCGCATAGTGTAAGCACGATGAGTTTTCTATCATCATTAAGCCAATATGTGGCGGGAGTGGCAGACAGTGTGGCAGGATTGGCCCTATCTCCGCGCCGAGTTCCGCCATCACGACATCGGTCAGCTGAGGAGACACAACAACAACCGCAGTCCTCAGCTGCAACCATGAGAGGTGAATTTAATTTATTTCTAAATATTTATGATATATAAAAAGAAAGTCAGTCAGCGACATATCTAGAAATTTCAAGTAGGTATATAAACAAATATATATATACATTCAATTTTGAGAAATAATGCGATGTTTTGTATATGTGACGATGTCCTTTTGGATTTTTTTTTTACTTATTATACTTAAATATAAAAACTTAGAGTGTGTGCATTATCAGCTTCTATGTGTACGTATAATATTAAATAAAAAATAGTAAAACCAGTCTTATTTTGTCAAAGACGTTTATTTACACATTCGTCTCAAAAATGTACAAAGGTCTCAAACAAGGTATTTATTATGCACGTCCTGTATTATTGTATTATTGCGCAATCTATTTACGCACTTACTTCTTGATGAATTGAGTGTAGGCTAAGGGAGATCCTGAGATGAGAGGAGAGGAGTAGTAGGGAGAAGAGTAGATAGGAGCAGCAGCAGAGTATGCGGAGTAGGCTGGGTAGGCTCCTGATGCGATGTAGGAGGCTGAGGGCACGATCAGGGGGGCGGAACGCTTCTTGATTAAGTGAGTGGCGTACACTTGGCTAGAGTGCAGTAGGGGAGTGTTGTAGGCGGTGGCGTAGGGGCTGCCGTAGGTGGTACCCAGAGGTGCAGCGCCGTAGGACCAGGGAGCTGATGCGATGTAGCTACTGACCAGAGGTACAGACCGTTTCTTGATAAAGTGCGGGTAGCCGTAGTTACCAGAGTAGGCCAAAGCGGGGGACGAGTAGACCACAGAAGAAGGGTTGTAGTAGTCGCCAGATGCGCTGTAGGTCGAGATGCCAGGAACGAATCCGTTCGAGTAAGCCAAAGAAGTAGTAGTGATGAGGGCCGGGTCGGGTGACGCAGCGGCCACGGCGAGGAATGCGACGACTGTTACAAACTTGAACATCTTGCTATCGATTCAACGAACAAATGTTGATTGATACTTTGTCAAATCCGATTACAATATTTATAGGGAGCACGCGTTAAAACAAAGGTTTTTTTTTAATAAAACCGGTGTAGAAAGGAGCTGATATTTACTTAGAAGGCCGCCAACTCAGCTGTTCATCAAAGACGAAGGCTTATTTGCTCTTTTATAAACTGGATTAAGCTTTTCTCTTCCGCATTGTATTTGTACTGCAGTGACAGGCTTATTTCTTTTACAAATGTTAAACATGTATGCATTTACATATATCATAAAAAGTCATTAGATAACTATTCTCTACCAACATTTCCAATACAGATACATGTAGGTACATAGGTATTCTATTTCAATCTTAAATTCTAACGTTTGTGAGAATTGAAGTTCCATAATTACTTTTTCTCATATTGTTCTATTCTATGCGTTTAGGTCACGAGCTAGGATCAAAAGCAAACTAAATGCTTCACGATCCAATGCTTCAATTCACTTAGCCATATTTTACAACGTTAAAAAATAATAATTCTCTTGGATGTATGTTGGAACACGCGTTTTATTTATATATCTAGCGCAGAAAAGTTTTTTGCTTCAGTTTTATGTTTTTTTTTTTTTTTGAAAGGAATTTTTTTTTGTTCTATAAATGTACACTCATTTTTAACCAATGTTTTGAGAACATCATATACTTACGTCACTAACAAAAAGTTAAGCAGCCCTGTTTTACTCTTATAGGTTACCAAATTAAATATAAACTCCTAAGCATATTATTCTAATATGTCCTTAGGTTTTCCTCGAGTTTTACCAACGGAAGGTGCATCAGCTCTGAACGCTCGAAGGAGGACTTTGGATTGCCTGGCTCCAGCCTCCGCACCAAGGCGGGGTGGATCGTTGCGCGTGCCTCGACACCAACAACCACCAGAAAAACCATCTATGGCTTTCTGCAAGCGTCGCCTGTCCTGGCCTGAAGTCGATAACTCTGTTAATTCTGGGTGAGTTTCAAGGCAGACAATCACAAAGTATGTAATTAAAACAGCAGTGTTCATTTTGTAATTTGCATAATTGTATAGATCATAGTTGTAAATATATATACGAGTTTAAAAGATTATAGGTCTACTAAGGTTTTCCAGTACAAGGATAATGTTATCAGAGTATGTATAAAGTATAAACTCAAGTGGAAAATTAATGTATGACAACGAGTTATACTTGATAACATTCCTCTGAATTCTCCCCCCTACCTCCAATAACACCTAACGTTGGCACAATGCATTGCTTATTTGGGAAGAAATGTAATTAAACAAATCTTTTTAAAAATTTCTTAACTAATATTTCATTAAAAAGAGGCAATTTAGAACGATATATTCGTCCTATGTTCTTTAAGTTACGCTATGCTAAAATAATTATTCAAAACTTATTTACTTTATGAACTTGAAATCGTGAAAAAATCATTTTATGTGGAATTTGATATTAATGAATATACATCTATATGTATCTATATTTATATATGTTAAATTTTTTACATATTTAGTAAAGCTGTCCGAATATACCATGGGCTGTTTTGTATGAAACAAAATCTCGAATAAATACAAATATTTGCTTCGAAATCGTTTCGTGTTTGTAAGATATACAAACAAAATATAAAAGCGTCTAATTATTTCAGAACAGTAAAGGGTAAACCACATGAAACTAGATCATGAATCACAAGGGATTTTGGGAATCAATGATGCCAACACAACAATATGTCAACGACGTGCGAACGGAGACAGACTAATGAATTCGTAGATTAGGACATTGTTATGTTGGTACAGTGAGTCACATTTGTATCGTCAACCAATTTGTATTATTCGACTTTTTGATTGAAAGGTCTTGGTTGTTAAAAATGCTTTGAAGAAAGTTTGTATTGTTATATTTGGTTTAAATATTTCAATACAAAATTCATCAAAAATCGAATTAGATGGTTTACCAGTTAACCTTAACTCTAGCAGGAACAATAAATAAAATTAACAACTATTACAATTTATTTACTTTATTTAATATTTATTTATAATTTCTAAAACAAAGCGTTTGCATAAAATTATACAAGAAAATATGACATCACAAATTTTACACACATACACATATACAGCAATTAATATATATAGAACGTTAGCTAGCTAGCAGGGGAAAAAATAAACAAGCAATCACAAAAAAAAATAACTATAGCAAAATAGAAACTTAAACCTCATGAAGAGTATGATAAACAAAATTACGGTAAGTTGGAAGATTGTTGTAAAATGAATAAATATTTTCATCAATGTTAGTAATTAAGTTGTAAGAGCGAGATAGCCTATTCACTCGGCCATATGCGATCCGTAGGTACATTACAAAGAAAGAAAAAATTTGCCAGAAGGTTGGTAAGAGTAATAAAATTAAATATTTTATACAAATGTCAGGTCAGTGAAGTAACGTTGGGGTTTTAGAGTATTTAACTTGAAATAGTCCAAACCAGACTCGTACGTTTGCAATAGACTAACGCGGGTGTAGACGATTGCAAAATACGTAACTAATATAAAATAAAAGGACTATATACGAGTAAAGGCCTCCTCAAGACCACTCTATCCTCTATCAATCGCCAAGCCCAAAATTCTCCCCCTGTTTTTAATTCCATCAGACCAGTGGCCTTCCTCTCTCTCTCTCTTTTCCGTGGGGACCGGGCGCAACTCCAACGGCAACAGTGATTTTAATTCGTACCACGTAATTCTCTTTGCAATATTAGTAGGTACTACGCGGAAACTGGATTTAATCCATAGACGACGTCATAACATCGGCTCTACGTTAGAGTGTCTGTTTCAGCCAATTATTGAGTCTATAATTGAAAATCGGAAAATTTAACTATGTGTAATACGAAATTTCAATTTCCAATGAATTTGGTCAAAGCTTACAAATAATGTAATAGATAAGTAATATAGTACGCGAATGGAAGAAATATATTACATTATAAGATTAAACAGTGGCGTAACAATAGGGTGGCAGGGCTGGCAAAATGCCACGGGGCCCAGACCCAATAGGGCCCCTGCCCAAGAGATATTATGTTCAATGGATCAATGAAGTCTCCAATACGCATTGGGCTAGCGTGGGGACTACAGACCATTCCCTCCTGCTTAGAGAGGAAGCCTATGGCCATTAGTGGGACATATACAACGTGTAATTTTTACGCTGAAAATCTCGAATTTTATTAAAATTTAACTGAGTAGGGACGATTTTTACTGATAGGGCCCCACCAAAAGATTTGCCACGGGCCCTAGATGGTATAGTAACGCCACTGACATTATAGATATCATTTGTATCATGCGACATGAGATAACCAGAAAACCGGGTAAAACCCAAGGGTAAAACGCTTGCACTGACCACTGATGCTTTGCTTTGTCCATTCTCGATCTCAGTATTATTTAAACATGCCCTTTGTTTATAATCAATAGTTGACATCTTTGTTTCTTATTAGTCGTGTTGTCCTTCCGTAAACTACAGTTTTGAACTTCACTCGCGGTGGTTGAAGATAAAATATAGCGCATTCCAGTATATGAATAACGAGGTTTCACTCGCGTAGATCGTGGTAGTGGAAAGTTTACTCAATCGGACTATAGATATATCTATGTTTTTGTTATAATAAAAGTTTTATTTTACTTAGTTTTTAATTACTTCCTTTCAGATTATTAGATACACACATTAATAATCATATACAGATTTTACTTCACAACGAATATATATCTAATACATTTTTAAATTTGTAACATTATTTACGTAGAATGTCCGACATTAGTAAATTTAAAAATACTCTACAGGTATTGAAAAATTATTGATTTCAAGTAGGTAGAAAATATTTTTTTAATCAATCATTTTTAGCTTGATTATTATAAATTGTTAAAAATAAAATAAAAAATT